GGGGGGGGGGGGGGGGGGGGAAAGAAGGCTTTCAAAGGACAACAGACTTTTTTATATCACATTCTTTCCCAGCATAACAAAGTGGGAGGTAATTATACCTCTAACTCTGAGATTAGTTATACCAAAGCCCCAGGTGAATTTATAGCAGCCTAGGAACTGCTCCAGATTCCATCATCTGGTTACTCTCCCTATGAACCCTCTCCACTGAAGACTGGAGAAGTACAGCATACCCCAGCTGCGTGAGTGGCATGCGGCAAGTCAGAAGGGCAGATCTGGCCATGGACTCCCCAACTGTGCCAGCATGCCCGATTCAGTGGCTACTCCAGCTGGTCTGGGACCCATGCTGCATGCAGTACAGATCCCAGAGTGACTGGAATGAGCACTACATGTTCAGTCCAGCCAGACCAGCAGCTACCATGCATGCGGTAGCCACCCTGGCCAGACCACACTGCAGGTGGCAACCCACCCCAGCAGTTCTGGGACTGTCTTGCAGATGGCACCTGCTCCAGCCAGTCCAGAACTTGCACTGCATGAGGAGCCTGCAAATGTCACATGCAGTGCAGGTCCAAGACTGGCTGGAGCAGGCGCTGCATGCGCAACAGTCCTGGAGCCCCTGATTTGGGGGCACAGCCCACAAGCTGTGTATTGGACACGAGTGCTCTAGGGACAGTAAGAGAGAGCAGTGTTCTTCCTGGCTATGGTAGCTGCATCTCTCATTGGAAATTCCCAACAGGGAAGACCCATTTAGTCCCAGCAGCACATCAGGAGCAGAGTGCACCAGACAATCTGACATCACATACACCTCTATTTTTATTTATATATGCAGAGACACATGCATATGCATAAAAGGGTCACCTTTTATACATATGGTCGTCTAGGATATTAGTATAGCATCTATATGGAATCACAATAAATCAGATTTGGTATAGTAAAGAGTAAATTTTAGTAAAAATTATATTTCATAGTAAATATGGGAATCAGAGGATTTTCAAAAAGAAAAACAAAAAGAGATTAATAGTCTCATATAGGTCCAACATGGTCCATATTTTTCCATACAGTAGAAGACTCCCCGCACACTGAAATCAAAGGAAGGACTTCCACTGATTGATTCCAATGAGTTGTATCAAGTTCCCAATGTCCTCCCATTGTTATTCCTTCTCTAAATGCTTATTTAGGTTGTTTTAACAAATAAGAAGCAGGTAAATACATTTTTTTAAATCATACTTTTTTGCTGGAGCTGTTTTTTGTAAATTCCACATTTTTAACGTATGGTCCTCAGATGCTGTTATTAAAACTGGTTCAACTGGATGGAACGCCAGGCCTCGTATCCCATCAAAATGGCTTCTCAACGTGAACTTAGGGTTCCAAGTCTTCCTCAATGCATCCTTATTATTTGCTATCTATTGGAAAGAAAAAAAAAAACCCAAACTTTTCATTAATTTGGGAAAGCAACAACAAAAGAGAAGTTAAACTTTAACCTGTTATTTATGGAATACAACTTAATACAGCAGGTCCTTTAACAATTCTTTATTTACCATAAATGCGGCAACCCTAACATAATTATGTAGCTAGTATTAAAAAGGTAAATTTATAGGATATCCATCTACCTCATCTTTTTATTTAAAAAGGGCAGCTGTACTTTATAAGCAGAATGAAATATGATCTTAAATAACAAGAACTGATGACTTTTCAACAATGAAAAGTAAGAGCCTCCTATAAAAAAAGCAATCATCCCATAATAGCATGCCCCTGCACCTATGCAGAATCTTCTGTGAGGTCATGTGTATACCAGTAATTCAAATGTCTTCAAGGGAAGAAACCTGGGCTAGGATGGTTTAGATATAAGTGATCCTGCCTTGAGCAGGGGTTAACCTTAGGTGGTCATATGGTCCCCCTCTCTTCTAGCCCTATTTTTCTATGACTATTAAGCATTTTGTTAACAAAGTCATATGGTACTAATGCTCAAATAACAGACAAATTAAACTGGGAAGAAAGATGCTTCTTTCAAATTTCAGTCACATGCATTCGTACATTTCGGCAAACTCTGGATCATGTAGGTGGTCGGTCTCCCTATTCTAGTGGAGGATTAAGTTCCCCTAGATTGAAACGTCCGCTTGTCACAAATTCGTTGAGATCTTGAGAGGGGAAAAGGGGGTGGAAGAGGAGAAAAGGGAAGGAAAGAGGAGAGGTGAGAAGGGAGAAGATGACATGCAGACAAAGAAATGGAAATAGCTCCACAGTGTTTTCTTCCCAGAAGGAACTGGTTTTCACAGCTCAGTGAACAATACCAAGGACCTGTGCACCTGATGTTGGGTGCCATAAGGCCTACTTGCCTCCTGCACCTCTACAGGAGTTGGGCTCAGTTAAATCTCAATTTCTCGATCAAAAGAATGTTTATGGCAGCTACAGCTACATGGGGTAACTTTTATAAAATTCTCTCAAACGCACAGAATAAGAAGTGAAAGAAAAGAAAATATAGGCACAACATGAGGAGAACAAATACCTTGGAGAAGCACCTCATAGCAAACAAATGGTTTTTCGTTTGCGTGAATTTCTATTTTTTTAAATCAATACATCAATATTTTTAATTTCTTCTTAGTTTTTTCCAAAAATAACTGACCAGAACAAGAGAAAAGATACTGAAAATATAAAAGCACCTCAAAGGACTAAGTGCCTCTGCTCTAAGAAAAAAAAAAAAAAATGGTGAGGACAGAGAGTAGTAGCTTCACCTAAGAGCTAGCAACTGCCACCTTAAACGAAATATGTTTGCATTATCAGTTCACTCCACTTGGCCCATATTGGGCACCTCTATACCTGCACTTTAATGCGCATTAGCTTACTTTAAAATGCATCAGACTGTCACAAAAAAAAACCTGTGCTCTTTAGCTAATGCACATTAAAATAGGCTGGCATGCCCTTTTCTAGTACCTCACAACGGAGAACATTTTTTAATTAGAGCGGCTCTCGGAATGCAAGTGCCCAGAGCATCTCATGTCAAACGAGCTTTAGATAAAAGTGCCCTCACCTCCATTTTGAAGCGCAGGGACACTGATACACGACACACGGAGGCTGGCTGGAGCATGGTAATTACCATGCTCCAGCAGACTCAATTCATAGAGTCTGCTCCAGTGCACTGTAGTGACAGCACATCGGAGCAGTCTCTGGGCTTGCATACAGGCACCTGGAGGTACTAAAGAGTTCCCTGCTAAGCCAAGCTGTTCTTCTGCCATACTTGCTATTCTTCTTGTGCATCAGGATGGTTTGTTACTGAACTCTCAGTAAGTCTTCTTTAAAGTACAGCCAGCTCTCCTGGACTCCTCTCCCCCTCAGACTGGCTTCCCACGGGATCCTGCCCATGAGTTCCCTGAGTGAGTCAGGATGCTTTTCTGAAGTCCAGGGTCCTTACTCTGCTGCTCTCCATCCCTCCTTCCCTCAGGATCCTGAACTCTATCATCTTGTGGTCATTGCTGCCCAAGCTGCCGTCTACTTTTACATTCCCCACCAATTCTTCCCTGTTTGTGTGCAGTAGGTCAAGAAGAGCACAATGCTGGTTGGCTGCTCCTGCAACAGGAAGTTGTCCCCAACACTCTCTGAAAACTTTCTGGATTGCCTGTGCACTGCTGTATTGCCCTCCCAGCAGATGTCTCGTGAGAACCAGGGCCCGTGACTGGGAAACTTCCGCCAGCTGTTTGAAACCTCATCCACCACATCCCCCTGGTCTGGTGGGCTATAGCAGACCCCCACCATGACATCACCCTTGTTGCTCTCCCCTCTGACCCTAAACCAGAGATGCTCAACAGGCCCATCTCCAGCTTCATATGGGAGCTCTGGAAATCATATGGCTCTTTTACATAAAGTGCAACTCCTCTTCCTCCTCTTCTCTGCCTGTCCTTCCTGAACAGTTTGTACCCATCCATGACAGTGCTCCAGTCATGTTAGCTCCCACCAAGTCTCTGTCATTCCAATCACATCATAGTTCTGTGATTGTTCAAGGACTTTCAGTTTTTCCTGACTGTTTCCCAGGATCCATGCAGGCACCTGAGGTAATTAGTTCGTTGCCCTGATTTCTCAGGAAGTATGAGCGCACCTTCCCACTGTTTCCCCCTCCTGCTTGCTCTTCCTCCAAGTCTCTCACTTCCCCTAGGTCTTTGGTCTCCATCCCCTGCAAACCTAATTTAAAGCCCTCCTCACTAGCTTAGCAAGCCTGTCTGTGAAGATGCTCTTCCCTCTCCATCCAGTGGATCACATCTCTTCCCAGAAATCCTTCTTCTTGGAAAGTTTTTCCTGACTGTTTCCCAGGATCCATGCAGGCACCTGAGGTAATTAGTTCGTTGCCCTGATTTCTCAGGAAGTATGAGCGCACCTTCCCACTGTTTCCCCCTCCTGCTTGCTCTTCCTCCAAGTCTCTCACTTCCCCTAGGTCTTTGGTCTCCATCCCCTGCAAACCTAATTTAAAGCCCTCCTCACTAGCTTAGCAAGCCTGTCTGTGAAGATGCTCTTCCCTCTCCATCCAGTGGATCACATCTCTTCCCAGAAATCCTTCTTCTTGGAAAAACATCCCATGGTTGAAGAAGCCAAACTCCTGCTGGCAACACCACCTGTGCAGCCAGGTGTTGATCTGAGGATGCACCTGATCCTTCCTGGGTCCTTTCCCTTGACCAGAACGATCAACAAGAACACAACCTGAGCCCCAGACCCCCTCACCTTTGCACCCAGAGTCCTGTAGTCACTTTTGATATGATCAGGGTCTCCCCTGGCAGTATCATTGGTGCCCACATGCTCCTGCTGGCAACACCACCTGTGCAGCCAGGTGTTGATCTGAGGATGCACCTGATCCTTCCTGGGTCCTTTCCCTTGACCAGAACGATCAACAAGAACACAACCTGAGCCCCAGACCCCCTCACCTTTGCACCCAGAGTCCTGTAGTCACTTTTGATATGATCAGGGTCTCCCCTGGCAGTATCATTGGTGCCCACATGGATAAGCAGCATGGGGTAGTAGTCAGACAGCCAAATGAGCCTCAGTAATCCTTCCGTGACATCTCAGGTCCAGGCTCCGAGCAAGTAGCAGACCTCCCAAGACAACAGGTCATGTCGGCAGATGGCTCCTGCAGAAGGGAGTCTCCAATTACCACCACCTATCACTTCTTCTTGGTGGCAGTCATCTTGATCCTTCTCACCTTGGTGAGGCCTGGATTGTCTTCCTCCACCAGTAGAACATGTTTCTCCCTCTCTGCTGCTAATACTGCATATCTGTTCTCCAGACAAACTACTGAAGGTGGAGGTGAAGATCTCTGCTTACTTCCACCCTCTTGGGCGTCCATGTCTTCCCTCTTCTCAAGTGCTGTGTCTGGCATTTCTTCTTCCAGTCCTGGAGGTCATAGATGTACGGGAACAGGGAAAGA